ATTCCCAGCACCCACATGGTGGCTCACAACCATCTGTAATGAGATCTGGTGTACATGCAGGCAGAACACCGCACACATAATTAATAAATAAATCTTTAAAAAAAAAAAAGCAGGCTGAGTAAGTCAGTAAGTAGCACCCCTCCATGGTCTCTGCATCAGCTCCAGCCTCCAACTTCCTGTCCTGTTTGAGTTCCTGTCTTAACTTTCTTCAGTGATAAACAGTAATTTAGAAGTGCTGGCCAAAAAAACCCTGTTCTCCCCAATCTGCTTTTGGTCATAGTGTTTTGTCACAGCAACAGAAACCTAAACTAGGCTGGGCAGTAATAGCACAGGTCTTTAATCCTAGCCTTTAATCAGGAGGCAGAGACAAGTGGATCTCTGTGAGTTCGAGGCCAGCCTGGTCTACAGAGACAGCCTGTTACACGGACAAACCAGTCTCGAAAAACCAAAAAGAAATCCTAACTAAGGCATTAGTGCTAGATCATTACCAAACAGTAATATGTAGGAAATTGGTGAGCAGGGAGAAGCACCAGTAATGACTGCTCTTCCAGAGACCTGGGCTCAGTTCCCAGCACCCATACTAACAACAGTCTGTAACTCCAGTTCTAGGATGATCCAACGCCCTCTTCTGATCTCCACAGGCACTGCATGCACGGTGGAAATGTAGACAAACACCCATACACGGAATTTTTAAAGCTAATCTTTCAGACGGTTGGCATACTCAGCGGGCAAATACATTTGCCTTTGCAAGTCTGACAACCAGATTTGGGTCTCCCTAGTACACAGCACAAAGAACCACCAACTCCCAAGTTATCCTCTGACTGGTAAATGAGGACCTGTCAGAGCAGAGGGAAAGAAAGAGTGAGAGCAAGCATTAGGGTGTGTGTGTGTGTGTGTGTGTGTGTGTGTAAGGGAGAGCATGACTGTGAGAGAGAGAAACCACATATACCCAAACATCAATCCCAGACTTTTTTTTTTTTTAATCATACAGAAGGCCAGGAGTGGTGGCAAACATCTTTAATTCCAGCACTCAGGAGGCAGAGGCAGGTGGATCTCTTAGAGTTTGAGGCCAGCCTGGTCTACAGAGTGAGTTCTAGGACAACCAGGACTACACAGAGAAACACTGTCTTGAAAAACAAAACAAAACCTTAGAATTTAAACCCAAATAGCTTGGAAAATGATTGGTACATAAAGGATAGAAAAGTTATTTTTATTTTGGTTTAGGTTTTGTGAGACAGGGTCTTTGCCTACTTGTAATACTTAATGCAATGTAAACAGGACATGAATAACTTTTATACTGTATCCTTAGGGAATAATGACATGAAAAAATCTACATATTTCATATGGATTCAGTATTTTTTTTTCTTTTAAGACGTGGAAAGCTAAGTGTGGTGGCATATGCCTATAACCCTGAGACTGAGGCAAGAGAAGTGGGTGGCAGGAAACCTGGGGCCAGTCTGGGGCACATGGTGAGTACAGCAAGATGCTATCTTCCAAAATAAAGATGCTGGGGAGCTATGTCATGGTTAAAAGCACCTATCACTCTTGCAGAGAACCCAAGCTCAGTTCCCAGCACACAGGTTAGGCAGCTCCCAAGTACCAGCAACTCCAGCTCTAGGAGATCCAACACCCTCTTCTGAACTTTGTAGGTTGTAGGTACCTACACACACACACACACACACACACACACACACACACACACACACAATTGGGGAGGAGGTTCTTGCTATGCTGCCAGAACTTCTAGGCTTAAGTGTCTGCTGCTCATTCTCCCCAGTAACCAGATGTAGGCACACATCTTACAGTTTATTTTCAGTCCACGGTTGATTGAGTTTAAAGGGGCAAAATCCACAGGTACAAAGGAGCAAAAGAGTTATAAACTAAGAGTAGGAAAAGTATAAACAGCTACCGCAACATGAGAAGACTTGACTTAAAACGGTTCACATAGTATTGAGAGAAAAAATTCATAAAAATGAAAAAAATGATAGATTCAGAATGAATCTATCAATAGGAGCCAAAGACAGTCAAGATTTGTACTGGAGAAGACATAACCAAAAATGTGACAGAGGGTTTAATGTGGTGTTCACATGTATACTATTAATTTTCATAATGTATCTATTAGAAAGACGTAGTAATAACATTTATGCACACATGGATTTTAAATGTTTATTGAGCACTTATGTTGTACCAGTCACTATGAACAGGAGCTAGAGATGCAGTAACAATTAAAGCAAGCAAATTCTTGCCTGCTTGTAGCAGGAGATGATAAAAGAAAACACAACCAATTACAGTATCACATTTAAATGCTGAAAACTGGGAGAATTAAAGCCAGAATTAAAGCCACTGATGCAAAGAAAACAATTTTGAGAAAAGAGCGAATTCAACTAGATAAGCAATATCGTACAGAGACTCAGGGACAGAGCTAAAACCAGACATTACAGTACTACCCTCACCTATGGGGACACATTCCAAGCTGTCCCAGTACTGCAATACCCAGGTGCGGCGCATGCCTTTGATCCCAGCACTTAGGAGGCACATGCAGGCGAATTTCTGAGTTTGAGGTTAGCCTGGTCCACAGAATGAGTTCCAGGACAGCCAGGGATACAAAGAAAATCCCTGTCTTGAAAAGCAAAACAAACAAATAAACAAAAACAAAAGCAAAAAACCGGAAGGAAGGGAGGGAGGGAGGGAGGGAGGGAGGGAGGGAGCAGGGAGAGAGGAAAAAAGGAAGAGCAAGTAGCACTGAACTCTGCACACAGGTTCAAAATCTTTAACCCAAAAATCTAAATCTGAAATACCCACACCCTGAAACCTTTGGTTGTTGACAAAACGCTATGAGTGGAGAGTCTAACGCAATCTAACCTCGTCTAATAGGTCACAACCAAAGCCAAGTACATGAAAGACACTTTATAAAATTAAACTTTGGACAGGCAGCAGTGGCACATGCCTTTAATCCCAGCACTCAGGAGGCAGAGGTAGGCGGATCTTTGTGAGTTCGTAGCCAGCCTGGTCTACAAGAGCTAATTCCAAGGCTCCAAAGCTACAGAGAAACCCTGTCTCAAAAAACAAACAAACAAAAATAAAATAAAATAAAATAAACTTTGGTTCAGGTCACTCAAGACTACATAGTGAGGTCATTTTAAAAAATAAATAAAAAACAAGTCATCTTGCTATAGAGCACAAGGTGACCCTGTGCTCACCATGTTCCCCAGACTGGTTCCAGGTTTCCTACCATCCACTTCTCTTCCCTCAGTCTCCAAGCAGTGGAGTTATAGGCATATACCACCACCACATTTATCCTGTATACTCTTTTCTTCTTTACATATAAACCTATGATAGTGCTTATTAATCTGTGAATAACAAATAATAGCAAAATAGAACTATAACAATATTCCATAATAAACATTATGTAAGTATGATATTTTGTACTGTACTTTGGTTTGGTTTTTTGAGACAGCGTTTCTCTATGAAGCCCTGTAGACCAGGCTGGCTTCAAATTCTCAGAGATCTGACTGCCTCTGCCTCCAGAGTGCTGGTACTAAAGATGTGCGTCACCCCTGCCCGGCTGTACTGTATTTCTGATTCTCTACTTAGCCACAGGTAACTGATAGTTAAGGGTCAGCCTAGAGCCAGTGGTTTGAGAAGTGAGGACAGCAAGGAAAGGGAGGCAGAAGCTGTTGAATAACCAGCGTGGAAGCCCTCAGACACAAAAAGCCCCGTACGAGAAAGGAGCACCTATTCTATGCTATCTTGGCTCCATCCTCTGGCCTTGATGGTATCCAAGGGTGAAGTCAAAAAGGGAGAGGTTGGTCGATTCCCACCCCTAGAAATAAAAACCAAGGGCAGAATATCAGGACTTTCAGACAACATTCTTAGTCAGAAACTACGGGTTAGGGGCTGCTGCTATAGGAAATTTCAAACTATTTCCTAAACTCCACTTGCTAGTGTATAGAATGTTTTGCATATATATATATATATATATATATATATATGCTCATGTGTGCCTGTTGCTGGCAGAGGCTAGAAGTGGGCATCTGAGTCTCTGGATTGGAGCTACGGGCAGTTATGAGCAGCTATGGGTGCCAGGAATCAAATCCAGGTGCTGTATAAGAGCAACAAGTGCTCTTAGCCACCAAGCCAAGTAATTCCAATGCAAGTTCTTAGTATGAGCAGGGACTTGACTATAGAGTTGCAGAAAGATGGTACATAGTAACACAAGGCCTGGGAGCATTCCAAGGAACCCAGGAATTAACTGGCAAAGATGTACATCCCTGAGACCTGCTGCAAAGTATAGAGATCCGGTCACAGGTCTGAGCTTGGGAGATCTCAGGTCAGGACTAACAACTATAATGCTTGGGGACGGTTTCTTTTTCTTTCTTTCTTTCTTTTTTTTTTTTTGATTTTTTTTTTTGGTTTTTCGAGACAGGGTTCCTCTGTAGCTTTGGAGCCTGCCCTGGAACTTGCTCTGTAGACCAGGCTGGCCTCGAACTCACAGAGATTCGCCTCTCTGCCTCCTGAGGATTGGAATTAAAGACTTGCGCCACCACCTCCTGGCCAGTTTCTTTTTCTTTTTAAAGATTTGTTTTTGTTGTTTCTGTTATTATTAAGAAGATTTATTTTTGCTATTTTTACTTATGTGTAAGGCGTGTGCCTGCCTGCACATATATGCTCATGAGTGCAGGTGCCCACAGAGGCTGGAGGCACTGGACTCCCCTGGAGCTAGAGTTACAGACTGTTACGAGCTGTCTGATGTGGGAGCTGGGAACCAAACTCAAGTCCTCCAGAAGAGCAGCTAGTGCTCGTAACCGTTGAACCATGTCCCCAGTTTTATTAATTTTAATTATGTATATATGCACATGAGTAAAGTGTCTGCAGAGGTCTTGAATCCCTCTGGAGCTGGAGCTATAGGTGGTTGAGTCAGCTAACACGGGTGATGGGAATTGAACCTGAGTCCTCTGGAAGACCAATATGTGCCCTTAACCACTGAGCCATCTTTGCAGATCCTGGGTATAATTTCTACAAAAGAAAAAAATAGCACCAGGGAGAATGCTGAGTGGGGAAAGCTGCTTGCTGCTAACCTGGCCACCTGTTTGTCCCTGAGTCCATGAAGAAGGAGAGCACTGACACCTGCAGGATGTCCTCTGACCTTCATAAAATAGAGTGCACGTCCCCTCCCGATAAGTAAGTACATAAATAAATAACTGTAAAAAGAGAGAAAGTATAAAAAGAGTGTCCAGATTAGAGAAATGATCATGATTATTGCTCTCAAGGAAGAAAAAGCAGCAGCAATGACAGAAAATACTCCAAGGACAGTACTGTGCCATGGAAAACAAGTTTAAAGTTACAGTAGGTGGGAAAGTACATTAAATGCTATTGTAAGGGGCAAATGTTTAGCACTGTTCAATACTGCAGAGAGACAAAGGATGGGGAAAATAAGAAAATCATTTTTTGCTAATTTGAAATACTAATTTATCTTCCAAGAATATAACCTCAAGAAAGCCCAGGGGTCTGAAGTCAGATTATAAGTGAGTTAAATATGATACACTTATTTTGATAACACTATGAGAAAACTGCTATACAAAGTACTCAGGATTATCAAGAGGAGCAAGATATCTTTTTTTAAAGATTTATTTACTTATTATGTATACAGTATTCTGCCTGCATTTATGCCTGCACACCCAAAGAAAGCACCAGATCTCATTACAGATGGTTGTGAGCCACCACGTGGTTGCTGGGAATTGAACTCAGGAACTTTTGAGTGCTCTTAACCTCTGAACCATCTCTCCAGCCTGAGCAAGATATTTAGTTTCAAGAATCTACGATCTACCTGGAAGAGACTGAGGCAAGAGGGCTGCCACATGAGTTGAAGGGTTGCTTGAGCTACATAACAAGGAACAAGACAGCCAATACGACATCAAACCCTCTCACATCCCCCCCCTCACACACACTCACACACACACACACACACACACACACACACACACACACTCACACACACGGATGGAGATTTAGCTCAGTTGGTAGAATGCTTGCCTCAAATATCTGTGTTTAACAGCCAGCACTGTATACACTGGGCATAGCAAAACATGCCTATAATCCTAGCATACAGGTGTACTAGAGGCAAGAAGACCAGGAGTTGAACTCAGATTTGGCTATGTAAGACCCAATTTCAAATAAACAACAAAGCAATAAAAATAATTTTTTAGGCTGGGCGGTGGTGGCACATACCTTTAATCCCAGCACTCAGGAGGCAGAGGCAGGAGGATCTCTGTGAGTTCAAGAAGGTGACTTGGGGGGTAAAAGTGCTCGCTCTGCCAGCCTCACTACCCAGGAAAGGAGAGCATGGACTCCAGATCTCCACACTATGTCATGTTTGAGGCCAGCCTGCTGTACACAGTGAGGTCAGTTTGAACCAGCAGAGACCCTGTCTCAGGGAAAAATAATGGGAGTGGGGTGGGGGAAGTACTAGGGGAACACAGGGGAAGGTGACAGGAGATTAGGAAAGCCTGGAAGAGCTGCACTGAGAGACTGGTTAGGAATACAAAAGAGCAGCCCATATTCCTCTAGGCAGAGAAAGGGAAGGGATGATGAGACAACTATTAAAACCAAAGCTGTGGGATTCCCCTTGCGCTAACAACAGTTAGGATGGGCTCTTACTAACAGAAATACATCACACCAGCAAGTTCACACATAATGTCTTGTTGACACTGGAGAGAATTACCAGTTACAAGCTGAGCAGTCTTCAACAAGCTTGCTTATTTTTATTTTGTTTGAGATAACATCTCACTATGTAGCCCTGGCTGGTGTAGAAATACCAACTTTCACCTGCCTTTGACTACAGAATGCTGGGATTAAAGCTGTGTGCCACTAAACCTGACTAAATCTTCAAGACATCAAGGACAAAGCTAGGCATCATGGCTCAGAACTGAAATTTCAGCATTCGGGAAGCTGAAGCAGGAAAGCTGCCATGAGTTCAAGTGCAGCTTGGCTTAAAGAGACCTTATCTTAAGACACGGCAGGGGAGGACACTGTGCTCACATCATAGAATAGTGTCTTTTATCTTGAGACAAGATCTTGTGTAGCCCAGGTTGGCCTCAAACTTGTTATGCAGCTAAGGATGACCTACAGCAAGCCTCCAGGTTAAGTCTCTGGCCAAACTTGTAAAGCAGTGGTTCTCAACCTATTCTTAACATAGGACTTTTCATGGCAAGGAGAGAGGTCTGCTCCCGGCAGCAACAATTTACTTCAGAGATGACGGGCATCTAAGAAAGTCCATATAGAGTTTGCTTTCATTGTGGCAAGTTTAGCCACTGGGCAAAGAAACTGTTCTTTCCTTGACAGCTGACAATAGGCTATCCAAACTGCACAAGCAGGACAGAAAGGGAAAAGACTGTCCAATGCCAAGATAAGGCAGGAGAGTCCTTCAAAATTCCTGCTTCATAGAAAAGTTTGCCACACATTCTACAGGACACACAGAAAAGTGTCTGCTAAACTTTGCCAAGACTAGGTGGGACAGTTCTTCAAAATTCCTGCTTCATAGAAAAGTCTGCCAGAAAAAATAAAAGATAGAAAAGTCTGGGAGGCTGGAGAGATGGCTCAGAGGTTAAGAGCACTGACTGCTCTTCCAGAGGTCCTGAGTTCAATTCCCAGCAACCAAATGAGGGCTCAGAGCCATCTGTAATGAGATCTGGCGCCCTCTTCTGGTGTGTGGGCATACATGGAAGCAGAATGTTGTACACATGATAAATAAATAAATCTTAAAAAAAAAAAAAGAAAAGTCTGTCAGATATTCTAGGTCTGCAGGCTGATACAAAGGAATCTTGGGTGATTGTCCAGGCAGCAGCTGTTCCTGCCATTTCTTATAGTTTTGAAAGTTGCTTGCTTTGCACTTCCTGTTTACTCAGGTAATATTATTTCCTTCTGGGGGTCTTTGATGGAATTGAAAACTAGATACTTATAGTAAGAGTTTTCCATAGTTACGAGAAGTTAAATTAGGCACAGAACTTTGGACTGATGTAGAGTATTATTTTCAGGTGTGTGACTTGTTTACGCCACATTTGTTTAACTCTGTGAAGCTGGGATTCTAGAACACCTGACATCCTAATAAAAAACTGAATGGCCAATAACAAGGCAGCAGCAAGGATAGGAAAGGTTGGCAGACAGAGAATATAAATGGAAGGAGAAATCTGGAAGAGGAGGACGAGGAGGAATAAAAGAGAACAAGGAGAGGATGACGTCAGGGGCCAGTCACGGAGTAAGGGTGAAAGTGAGATACAAAGAAGAAAATAAAAAGCAGAGGCAAAAGGATAAGTTAAGAAAAGCTGGCAAGAAATAAGGCGAGATAAGGCTGGGTGATTACAAGTAAGAAAAAGCCTTTGTGTGATTTATTTGGGAGCTGGGTGACGGGCTCCCCCAAAGAGCAAAAAACATTGCACTACATCGGACTCACCAAGATAGGATTAATAATAGAGTATTTTCTCTGAATTTGCCAAATACAAATGAGATTGTAAATGTAATTCTTATCTGATAATTGTTCTTATTGCATAGTTTTACTGTGTTAGAGTTAAAACCTTTCCTTTTTAGACAAAATAAAAAAAAAAGGGAACATTGTGGAATAAGCTTTTTGTTCATTGTAAAGATGACACTCTGACTGCTTTAATAAAAAACTGGGCCAGGCAGTGGTGGCGTATGCCTTTAATCCCAGCACTTGGGAGGTAGATACAGGTGGATTTCAGTGAGTCTGAGGAAGACAGCCAGCACTATTACACAGAGAAATCTGTCGCAAAAAAAAAAAAAAAAAAACAACTAAACAAAACCAACAAAGCCAATAGGTGGGCAGGAATTCCGGGCACAGAGGATGCTGGAAAGAAGGGCAGAGTCACGAGGAGACACTGAGAGACAGAGAAGAAGCAAGAGATGCAGAAGGAGAATAGTCCCTGGCTATGTAGCAGCATGTAGATTAATAGAAATGGGTTGATTTGGGAGCTGGCTACAAGATGCTGTGTGGGGCTCACACCTATACATCTAGCAGCTGGAAAGCAGAAGCAGGAGAACCTGCTGTGAGTTCAAGGACAACCCGAGCTACATAGTGAGTCCCAGGGTAGTCTACTCTACCAAATGAGACCCTGTCGCAAAAGGCCAAAACACACTAAAAACAAATCAAAACAAAAAACAGAAATAAATATGTCAGGAAGAAACTCCTTATAGCCTGCCTTAAAGAGGAAATCCTAACACCACGCCTCACTGGGCTCACAGGTGATTGCCCTCATAAAAACAATATATGGGTGGGAGCTGGAGAGATGGTGAGATCATCTCTTCCAGAGACCAGGTTTGATTCCCAGCACCCACATGGCAGCCATGGCAGCCAACAACTGTCCAGGGGATCTGATGCCCTTTTCTGGTTTCACTGGGCACCAAGCACACATGTTGGAAAGGCATACATGCACACAAAACACCCATAAAAATAAATTAACAAGGGCCTGGAGAAGTAGATGGCTCAGAGGTTAGGAGCAGTGACTGCTCCTGGGGTCCTGAGTTCAATTCCCAGCAACCACATGGTGGCTCAGAGCCATCTGTAATGAGATCTGGTGCCCTCTTCTGGTCTGCAGGCAGAACACTGTATACGTAATGAATAAATCTTTTTAAAAAAATTAACAATTTTAAATGAGGAAAGGAAAACTTTTACAGTGAGAAGACCTTCTAAACACCGCTTCAGAAAGCTGTCAGTGCCACGAACTCTACACAGGGTGGGAGGGGAATCACTGTTATCTAACACACCCGTAGACTTCCTCATAGCCTCTAATATCTTCACTCAATCTAAATTTAATCATGATGGAAACATTAAACAGCTGGGGATGGCGACAGCCACCTGGAATCCTCACACTCAGGAGGCTGAGGAAAGGTGGATCCAGACAGAGCTCAAGGCCTTCCTGGGCTACACGGTAGTTCCAGACAAACCTAGAACATGTCTATATATATAAACACAGAAGACACAGAACTGGGGATAGTGGAGACAGAAGAAATTCCAATAGAAGAGTACTGTGGAAACTCCTTCAGCCAATAGTCTTTAAGATACCAGCCCACTTGGGCGTGGTCTTACACTTTAAAGCTTGCCCCTCCCTCCCTCTCTCTCTTCCATTCTTGTTCCCCGGCCTTCTGGAGAGGACTAAGATCTGTGAGTTTACCCTTAAAGAACCGTTTATTTATTTATACATATATTTTTAAAGTTTTTCAAGACATGGTTTCTCTGTGTAACATCCCTAGCTGTCCCGGAACTTGCCCTGTAGACCAGCTGGCCTCGAACTCACAGAGATCCGCCTGCCTCTGCCTCCCAAGTGCTGTGATTAAAGACATGCACCACCACCGCCCAGCTAAGAACTATTTATTGTACTAAATTCTGAGCTGGTGTGGGACTACTTTATAGTATCAATCTACAGAAGGGGAATCTTCAAAATACACACTTAACATTGCTAAAAACTGCTGGGGAAAGCAGCTGTAGGTAAAGCAGTCTGTGCAAGCGTGAGGATGAGAGTTCAAACCCTAAGCACCTGGGTTAGAGAACTGGCTCAACAGTTAAGAGAGGACAAAGGTTTGATCCCCAGCACACAGGTGTCTGTATCTTATGATCCAGGCATCAGGCACATACATATATGTTGGCAAAACACTCATAAACACACTCACAAACATAATAATGTTTAAAAAAATCACCAGTGTGGGGCTGGAGAGATGGCTTAGCAGTTAAGAGCACTGACTGCTGCTCTTCCAGAGGACCCGGGTTCTGTTCCCAGCACCCATATGGCAGCTAAAAGCTGTCTCTGAATCCACACACAGATAGACATGCAGGGCAAATACCAATGCAAATAAAATAAATTATTAAAAAAAATCATCAGTGTGTTGAGTAAAAAGTCAGGTGTGGCCATATGTACCTGTGACCCCACACCATATGGGCAGAAAGGGAAGACTGCTAAGGCTTGCTCCAGGCTCAGTATGAGACCTTATCTCAGGGAAACCTGACAGAGAGAGAACAGGATACCAGCTGGCTTCCTCTGGCTTCTGAAATTACAAATAGGCACATATGCGCATCCATTCCACACACATTCACACCCGTGCACGCACACACACACTCAAAATATCCTAAAAAGTCCATCAAGATGATTGAGAGCAAGTAAAGTCTGAGAAGCTAACATCAAGAAGACATGAGAAAAAATACAAAAAACAAAAAAAACTTTGTTTTTTTTTTTTTTAGATCAAGCTTCCATACTTAGCTCTGGATGTCCTGGAATCTACTACATAGACTAGTCAGGTTTTTTGTTGTTGTTTTGTGTTTGTTTTTTTCAAAACAGGCTTTCTCTATGTATTCCTGGCTATACTGGAACTGGCTCTGCAGACCAGGCTAGCCTCAAACTCACAGAGATCTACCTGCCTTGGCCCCTCAAGTGCTAGGATTAAAGGTGACCTCCATGTTTTAATAATTGGTTTCCTTTTTGGAGACAAGGTCTATGTAACCCAGACTGGTCTCAAACGGTAGCGATTCTCCTGTCTCTGCTTCTCACGCGCTGGTAACCCAGGTGTGAACCACCATGCCTAGCTTGAACAACATATGACATTGGCTAATAATAAATGTACTGATGCTGATTAGTTAACTGGGAGAAATGTACTTTAATAATGTAAGACGCTGGTAACAGGGAACAGGCACATGGTAAACAGGAATTCTTTGTAGCATCTTCTCTACGACTGTTCTGAGAAAGTCTATACCATCCCACTGTCACACAATAAATAAAATCCAGTCAAGTCTTAAAAGAAAAGGTTAAGAAAGGGTACCCATAACAGAAATAACAATGGAAGATCAGAAGAGCTGAGTATGAAATGTGACAGTATCCAAACACTGAGACCCTCAGCATTAGAAAACAGACGTAGGAGCTCCGGAGAGTGGCTACTGCTAGTAATAATAACTATAGTTGAGCAGCAAATTAAGCAGTGAGGAACTAAAAACAGCAGATGAAACTTGATTTTCAAGAAATCAGGATTTGAACAGTAGCAACCCATGCTAAGCACAGTGGCACACGCTCAGATGCAGAGGCAAGCAGATCTCTGTGAGTTCCAGGAGAGCCAGGACTGTTACACACACACACAAAATAAACACCCTGTCTCAAAAAATCAAAACAAGCCGGGTAGTGGTGGTGCACGCCTTTAATCCCAGCACTGGGAGGGGCAGAGGCAGGCAGATCTCTGTGAGTTCAAGGTTTACAAGAACGAGTTCTAGAACGGATTCCAAAGCAACAGAGAAACCCTGCCAAAACAAACAAACAACAACAACAA